TAATCCTCCAATATTTGATGTGTATAACGTATATATATATATATATATATATTGTATACAATTGTTGTCTAATATATTGTGTACAATATATACAATAATATATTAATTGTACCAGTTTTCTTATTGATAAATTATTGATTTTATTATTGATATATTAATCAAAATTAAATAAAAAAGTTTTAAATAATTTATTATATTGTTTTAAAATTTTATTTATTATTTTAATTGCTAGGCAGTGGTAAGTAGAAAAATAAATTGATATAATCCTTTATTCTAGTACAAGCTTCGTTTAGTTGCTTCAGATAACCTGAATGAGAATCATACAACAGTTGTTATACACATCAAAGATGTGAATGATAATCCTCCAATATTTGACAGACCAACTTATGAAACACAAATTACTGAAGAAGATGATCGTAATCTACCCAAGCGTGTCTTGCAGGTTATGAGATTATTTTAACAACAAATGCATTTATCTAAATTGTTGTGTCACCATCTATGTTTTCTACAAGATTTTATTTTTAACCAGAATGGCTGCAAATAACACATTCGGGCTTTGTGTTTTTACAGTTTTATTTTAATTTTGTATGCATGTTTTATTTTTTATTATTGGTATGTTGCATGTGCTTGCACATCTTATCTTTTCCCAGTACAACCTTACCCTTGTGGCATCGGACACTCTGCATGAGAACACCACTGTGGTATTGATAAAGATTAAGGACATCAATGATCTCCCCCCAAAGTTTCAGCAACCATCCTATGAGACAACTATATTTGAAGAAGACTCTGATGGTATACCAAAGAAAATTTTGAAGGTATATTATGTTTGTCTTCAATTTCAATGGATTTAAATGAAAATAACCAAATAAAAGTCAGATAATTTTTAAAAATCAGTTAATATAGTAAATTATATTTTTCACAAGTAAATAAAAAAGTTAGAATAAACATTAATAATATATTCTGATAAATAAATTGATTATTATAAGTCATTTTATTATATCTAAAAATATATAAACATTATTTATAAATATACAACACAATACAATATATAATAATATTTATCACAAAGTTCAGTCATTTATTCTGTTATAGGCAACAGAATGAATAATTCAAGTCCTCTGTTATCAAACTTTGGGGATGGAGTTCTGATCTGAGTATCATGTCTAATAACATGCATTACTTGTTTTATTAAAATTTTTAAGTTTTTATTTTCAGGAGTAATTAAATGCATGATATTACTTACAATACTATAAATTAAATAATTATTTTTATTGCATGAAAAATAAATATTCGAATGTAATAATAATGATTATTTTTAATTCATAAATAAAATTTTTTAAATATAAAATTTTTTCTTGCTTGAAAATAATGCTTGAAAAATATAAAAGATTTTTTTTCCTGAAACTTCACATTTTTGCATGTTAAAATACTTATGTAAAAATTATTATTACTAAATTTAAAACTAAGCTTTGAAAAACTTATCATCAATTTTTCTTTATTAAAATGATTGTTTAAATTTCTATAAATATGCTCAATTTAATTTAACATAATTTGCCTTTTTTTTTGCTAAATTTATTATATTGACTATTTAAATTGTAGTATTTTAATTTACCATAAATGTTTACTTATTATTAAATTAATTTTATTATAAAACTGTAAATGTATAAAATTTATAGTTTCAAAATTAGATGTGTAGTGAAGCTTTAATAAGCAATATTTTTTATATCATCTTTGATTAAATAATTTTTTATTTTTAAATTTTTGAAACATTTCTTATAATTTAAAAAATAAATAAAGTCCAAACAATATAAACATTTGGAACTTGGAAATATTTAATAAGAAACCCTATGCAATATCATCTTTAACTATTATATTTGTCAGCCTTTACTATTTTATTAATTTTTGATTAAATATTATTAAGTGTCTGAAATTATCTGCAATATTACTTATTTTTAAAATAACTTGAAGTTGTTATTTTATGAAAGAATAATTCTTTAACTTATTCAAAATTGTAATGAAATAATGTAAATTTAAAATTGTTAAACTTTTATTACTGGAAATATAAAACAATTTCAAAATGTTATTAATTTAATCTCTAGTCTTCTTAGAATTAATTATTTTCTACACTGATTATGCTGATTAGTATTGATACTGATAAATTGGCTGGCTCATATTTTACCATTATACAGTATTACATATTTTGGTCAAACATTGAGTATGATTTTGGTTGGTGAAGAAGAAATAATCATTTTAAAAGCAAATTACTTACTATTGGTTGATCCTTTCTTTTTGCAGTTTTATTAAATTTATCTTTACACATTATAACATTATATTCTTTAAATCTACAAGTTAATAAATGATCAAAGGATGAAGTTAGTATAACTCTAAAATCAGTTCACTTTGAAGTAGTTTATTAATTATTTTTTTCACATTGAGTCTATTCTAATAAATATTTTGATAAATAAATGAATAAAATTATATTACTTTTAGTATTTCTCAAGTTTTAGATATACATAATAATGTATTTTATATGTACTGTATAATTTCTATTAAAATTGAAAATATTTATTATTTAAGTACAATTCGCATTTAGTTACTTTATAATAAAGATGTAAGGTTAAAGGATCTTAAATCTTTGTATTTATGAAAAAAAAATTGTTTTCTTTAACATAAAAACATAAAATATTTTTACAGCATTAGAGATAATACAGATTTTATTAAAAAACTAAAAAACTAAAAAACTGAAAAATTAAAGAAAATGTATAGTTTTATTAAAAATAAATATGGATACATGTTTCTACAACCCCTTGTAATAGGGAAGTAATTCCCAATAGACAATAAATGTTGATTGATTTTGATAATACAGATTTTAAATCAGAACTTACTACATTTATGATTAGATTTTAGATCTAGCTTAAGAACAATCTTAGTAGTTCAAGTGCCATATCTCTTAACAATACACTATTCTTATATCATATTTTTAAAATTTTTGTAATCCTTTCAGAAATATGTTAAATACTAGTTCTAATTGTTATAAGTTTTAACTGTTGTCTTAAATTATAGACTTTGGATAAACTTATAGAACATCAAATTTTAATAATCTAGTGAGGATGGCTAAAATTGAAATTTTTTTTTTAGTGTATATAAATTTCTTAAATATTATTTGTGCTATAAATTATAAAAGTACAAAAGAATGAAATAATTAAATAATTATAATGAAGAAGATATCAATACAGACAAATGAAGTTTGTCTTTTAAATATTTATTTGACAAAACAATGGCAATGAAAGCGAATACTTGTAATAGTGTATAAGCAACAGAGAGTGCATTATGTTGATGACAGCTGTCAATATATCAGAAGAGAAAAACTTCCAGTTTTTATTGAAAAAATAAATATAAACCAATGTTTTTTGCATACCAAAAACTTTGTACTATATGAAAATGAAGTATTATATGTGAAAATACAGATTGAATTTAGTAATTAAATCTTTTATTTGATTAAATTTTATAATTCAAAAATTATTAACTAAAATTGTAAAATCAGTATAAAAATTTTATTATGAATAAAATAGGATATATTGAAGATTTTTGTTAAAATTCAACAAAGGATTAAAGAAGAAAATTAACACTTGAAAATATATTATATCAAGATACGAATGTATTTTAAAACATAATAGCATCAAATTTTATTTATAAGTTACTCATTTATTTGATAAAAGAAAATAATATATTGTTTTGTGATCAGAATTAATTTTATTAAATTTTTGCATGTTAAAATACATCCATGTTGCATGAATCATGATATAATAAAAAAAATAATAAACTTTATGCAATTTAAAATACATTTTATTTTCACAAATGTTGTTACAAAAATAGCAACCATCATTTATATTTTAAATATAGTTTCTAAATTCTCTTAAACTCAATAAAATTGAATTTATCAAATGTCATAATTTATGTTATGCAAATCAAGAAATATAATAAAAATCATTTTTTTATTGTTGATGAAAAAATAACAACAACACTGTCATACATTACAAATATGTCAAAAATTTAAACAATTGGTTTTTCAATTACATTTATACACATTTTATTAAATAATTTCACAAATATTCGAAACCAATCCAAAGTAAATAACCTTTGAAATTCAGAAAAAAATTTTTTATAAAGTGTTTACAGTTATGTTTCTTTGCTCATTATAAAAACTTTTGTTGGAGTTTAAAGGTTTTGTTTTGGATTATTTATTATCTTATTCCTTTTCTAAATCAACAAGATTTCAAATTATTTCTATGGATCATTTCCAGGTCTGCAAACACACACAATTTATTGTGAAATTGCTATTTTGATGATGGTAAAAAGATATTAGCATTTTTAAAAAGTTTATCATCAATTTTTGAAACAAATTTGGATCACAATAACATTATATGTTTAGAAATAAATTAATTAAAAAGAAAGTTTGCCTTTAAAAAATTACCTGTTAAATTTTTACTAAACACATTACTGATTATTGAATTTATTAACAACAAAAATAATACAGTAATTACCATAATTATGCTATAAAAGATATTCATTTTATTGGAACTGTTTTAGTTATAATAATAATTATTTCAGTTAAAATATTTTATATTTTTTTAATTTTTAATAAAAAGTAAACAGTTAGTTCATATATTACAAATTTACATTTTTTTTTTTTTTTTGTTTTTATTTAAAATCAGTCAGGTAGTCATTTTTAAAAAATTAAAATTTTAGTTTATCTTAAACATGCAGAGCAAATTTCCAACAAATTTTTTTTATTTAATAATCTTAAATTTTGTTAATAAATTGTATATTTAATAAACAGATAAGATATTACTGCATTAATAAATATAAATTGAATTGATAATGACATCTTTTAAATATTTAATAAACATAAATTCTGAGATTAAATATTTAATAACTATGTAAAAATATAATAAAACAACAAAACATTGATAAAAAAAAACAATAATTATATTATGTTTAGATACCATAATTAATTTGAATTATATAGAAGAACTTAAAAAAAGTGTGTATTATACAGTAATTGCAATTATATCTTAGAAATTAATTTTATGAATACAAAATATACTACTGTAATAAAGAAAATTTTTTTTTTAATAAATTAAACATTGGTATAGATGAACTAAGTGTATCTTTTTTTATGAAAAATTACAATTGTAATTTTTCATAATATTCATAATAAAGAAATTTCAAAATGAAAATTATTAGCATAGAAAGTAATAAAATATATAATTTAAATCTTGTATGATCCAAATATTTTTACATATTCATAATACTATATGTACAGGTATACCTCGCCTTACGTCAGTAATTGGTTCCAGGAGAACGACGTAAGTCGAATTTACTTGTCTCCGAATCTACTTGTCACTAGGCTAAACCATAAATTACCATTCCCGGTTCTGTATTTTATTTATTAATGCATTTTTAATAATATATGGTTAATTAAAATCTATTTTAAGCTTACAAACAAATAAATTTTAGTTTTTAATATAGTACAGAAAAAAGTATTCTAAATTTATGAATGCATGTACTGTAAATACAGAACATACTCGTATATATTTTCATATGATTTTATGTGCTTTAAACGTTTTTCTAGTGATATTACGACTTCAATATTTGTGGCGGACAGACGTAAAGTCGAATAAAATGACTTAAACTTGATTTTTATTTTTCCATATACTTTTTTGACAAACGACGTATAATCGGGAACGACGTAACTCGAAACGACGTAAGTCGAGGTATGCCTGTACTTGTATAATTAACAATATATAAATAAAACTTTTCAATAAACCATAAGTAAATATTGTAAATATTTACTTATGATAAAATATTGAAAATTTAGAACTTAATGAGAATTATTATTACTGGTACTATTAAATTTTTACATCAAAACAGCAATGTGCAATATATTGCATTATTTATACTGAAGAGTTACCAAAGTAATGTTCAGATTCATGAATTTAATTTTCAAATATAATGATAGAAAAAAGATCAGTTAGTATTTTTTAAACTAAAACTGTATTTAATGTTTATTATTTTTTTTATTATCATATGTAATGTTATTTTAATTACAAAATTAATTTAATGAATTATTTTATCTTATTATTTGATTATTGAGTTTTTGAATCCAATTTTTGTTCAAAATTCTTTTCAGCATATTTACTGCTGTTTGTTACCTAATTCTGTATAACTTATTCTAAAGTAATAACATTTCAAAAGATAAAATATTTTCTTAATCTATATTTTATGTCTTAGCATTATCAAAAAAATGTTTCCTCAACATCTATTAGTATGGTACATCAGCATAATATAATTAAACTGTCTTTTTATTTTTGTCTACTTGTAACAAAATCCTCCAACAATATTTGATTAAATTGAAAAAGAACAAAAGAAGGTAAATGAATATTTAAATGATACTATACATGTATTAGATCCCTAAACCTCTTATTATCAAATCCCTTTTCTTCTAATTTGTATTATGAATATATAGATTATTTTATTTATAATCTTAACATGATTTTTATTATATATATAAAATATATGCTTGAGGAAAAGAGAATTCTAAGGAAATAAAAGTCGTCATGAAAAACTGAATGATGACTTGCTAACAAACAGCACCTAAAATACTAGCTCTCTAGTATAAATCATATACAAGGTCTGTTCAAAAAGTATCGGACCTTTAGTCGGCAAAAATAAATTTATTGACTTTGAGGTACAAAACCCTAATCCCCTTCAAAGTAGTCTCCTTGGTAATGTGTACACTTCTCCCAGCGTTCCTGCCATTGCTGGAAACACTGCTGGAACGCATCTTTTGGAATGGTTATCAGCCGGTCCGTCGCATTTCGCACGATGTCTTCTCTCGACTAAATTTGGGTTCCTTTTAGCGGCATTTTCAGCTTGAGAAATAGCCAAAGGTCACACGGAGCCATGTGGAGAGAGTACGGAGCGTGACGAATGACAGGAGTATTGTGTTTGGCGACGAAAGTCCGAATCAGATGCGCAGAATGGGCGGATGCATTATCACGATGGAGCTGCCAAGTTTTGATCGACCACAGATCCGGTCGTTTGCGTCGCACTGTATCGGAAAGACGACGAAGGACCTCCTGGTAGTACTCCTTTGCGATGGTTTGGCCTTGTGGTGCGTACTCACGACACACCACCCCACGAAAGTCGAAAAAACTGTCAACATGACCTTTGATATTGCTGCGGACCTGCCGCGCTTTTTTTGGCCTCGAGGATCGTCCCCGAAAGCCTGCTGAATCTTGCGAATGGTTTACACTCGGGTATCGCCAAGGTTTTTGGCAAAATTTGATGTAATATCGCTGCTCACGTTGTTCAGTCATTTTCCAGCTTAGTGGAATCCGACGAGAGCGCACTACATGACCTCACTCATAGGCCAATTGCCAACGACTGACGCTTCCTGCAGGCGGGAAAAAATCCAGGGCTGTGCATGGCTGTCCCCTCCACAACTCCACCGAAGGAGGCCTTTCTCGCATCATTGGTTTACGCGGAAGAAAAAAAGGTCCGATACTTTTTGAACAGACCTTGTATCTATCAAAAGCAAAGGAACACTCAAGACAGGAAAAAATGTGATCAAATGTCATTTCTTTGGTTACAGTATATTTTTGTTTTCTGTTTTGGAAGACACATTTTGATTTTTATTTTGTATATATTTTTATTCAAACTAATTTATTAACTGTAATAAGACTAAATGTAATATAAAACATAGAAATTAAACATTTGGATCTTATTAATTTTTTTGAAAGAATCCAAAAGCAATACCTACATTTCTTATTCCAATGTTATATTCATTTCTATTTTATGTTATCATATTTAATTACATACAATTTTCTATTATTAAATAGAAAGGTGAAAGGAGATATAATTAGTTTAATAATCCAAATTTGCTTAAAATGAAAATTTTAGTTTTCTACAGATTCTGTTTATTAAAGTTTCACTACAGTTACATAAAAGTTATGAATTTTTATTTTTACATTATTCCTTTTTTTAATAACTTTATATATTTATTAAATATTTAATTGGTTTTTTTAAACTAAATAGTGTATGTTCTTAGCATATAAGTAGTTATTATGTTATTAGGTAACAGCTACAGATGGGGACAGAGATCGTCGTCCCGATATTGTATATTTTCTCACTGGACAAGGTGTTGATGATCAAGATCCAGCCAATAGTAAATTTGCTATTAATACAACAACAGGGGAAATTTATGTATTAAAACCCCTTGATCGTGATTTACCTCATGGACGATCACAGTGGAGGTTTACAGTTTTTGCTGAAGATGAAGGTGGAAATGGTCTTGTTGGATATGCAGATGTCCTAGTTAATCTTAAAGATGTAAATGATAATGCACCTTTCTTTCCTTATGCCATATATACTGGAAATGTTACAGAAAATGGAACAGCAGGTAAATTTATTTTTTGAATACCTTATTTTTCCTTTATTTTTTTTTTAAGTGTTCAATATTTTTATTTTATTACTAGCATTATTTAATTTATATGAATTTTAAGTGGAAGCAATAAATTTTCAAAAATAGTTTTGAATTTTAATCAATATGCTTATAAGATGAAAATAATGAACTACTTTTTATATTAGAATTAAATATAATACAATATGAAGCTAAAGTAGACAATGCTTTATTACATTTTAACTTGTTTTTGAAATCCTACATTGATATAGTTGAAATACAATGTGCCAACTATCCTATATTGTCCTCCTATTCTTTTTCTTATCAGCAATGTTTTCATTTTGAGTATGATATTAATTGTTTTTTTATTTATTTTATTGTAACTAATTTTACTTTATCATCTCTTAAATATTACTGACAGACAATGTTCCAATATTTAATTTTTTTTATTCTAAAGTAGTAGTTTTGTCTTTATCCTTCACTAAAAATACAAGGAGAGAAAGATACTAGCATATAAGTCATATTATTTATAGGAAACTGAAGGTTAACTTCTTCACAATTTTTTTTTATTATATAATGCTTCATTTTCAAGGGAGTAATTCTTAATGAAATACTTCATAATAATATATAATGCTATTTAAATTTGTCACTATGCTAATTATTTTTCTATTGAATTTATCAATAATAATTTTTTAGTCTTTTGATTTTAATGTGTACATTCCAGATTTAATGATGGTAATCATTAATAATTTAAATATTTTTTCAGAATTTCAATATTTGGAAATCCAAAGTTGATGTATTATAGGGTTACCATAACAGTTGAAGGCAAAATACAAACAGATTAGCATTAAAAGTATTCAGACAGTGAGGCAAAATAAAAGGAATTTATTCATATTTTTCAATCAAATAAATATAGGCATATAATAAAAAGTTCACTTTATACTTTCCTTTGGAGCACAGAATGCAATTTTAAATGTAAGAAAACTATTTTACCACTTAGACAACAAGTACTATCAAATTAAAAAACCCGTTATAATAAGGTGACCAACTATTTTTTACAATGAAAAGGAGGACACAAATAAATTGAAGGAAAAAATATTGTAAATAAAAGAAACATTTTATTCATTTCAACAATAATCTATATATATAAAAATGAATGTCTGTCTGTCCTTCATGCATTACCACACCATTTATCCGATTGCCATGAAACTTTGGGAAGTTGTTTAATATACTCCCGCAAAGGTTTTTGGCATAGTACGATTGCCATGAAGCTTTGGGAAGTTTTTTAATACACTCCCACAAAGGTTTCTGGCATAGTACATTTATCCTATGATAGATGGCACGAGTGTATATGAGTATTTCATTGTGAGTTCGATCGATTTCAAATTGTGAAGACCATTTCCCCCCTCCAAAAAATATCCTTATATATGCATTTGTGAACTGTTATTTACGATATTTGTAATAATTTTTGTTTAATCACTTATTTCAACTTTTTTTTTTTGCTAATTACGTATTTGCTTGAACTTTGTTAAAACCTTAACTGTATCCCGAACAACAACCGAAGTTGTAGCAGGAAATTCGCCTATTTTACCGGTCTAGGGATCCCCCTTTTCCAAATTTTAATATCAACTCAAAATAATTTAAAAAGACAAATTACAATAAAACGGTTTATTATCCAACTATCAGAAATTTCACAACATGCCAAGGAAGAGAGGAAGGAGCAATTAAATAATTAAAATTATAAAGGATTAAAAAAAAATGTATAAAAATGGGGAATATTACACTTCTGACAATCGCTGCAAGTGTGTTGGCTAAATTTGGAGAATCCGTGCTTCTCATATGGACAATTGTATGTGGCCAGCTCACTTGTCGGAAAATCTTCTGATTTATTCGTGTACGCACCAGATGGAAAAACAAAAAATATTGTGTATCCACAAGCACTCCAATAAATAAATAGAATTGAAACGACACTTTGAAATGTTTTCCCAATGAAAATGAATAATAATAAGTTTCAATAAAAATGTAAATTGAATTTTATCATAATGAGTTTGCTTGAATTTCTTTTCTTCTGAGATTGCAGCAATGCGTGACAGGTAAGCTAGTACACTATAATAATCTCTACTGCATGCATATGTGCCATGTTGTCTTTTGGTGAAAAGTAAACAAAGTGATTTGCGCGCAGCATGTCTCACAGTCTTCTGTGCGGAGTGCATGTCTCATAATTGCATCTCACTGTACTGTACTGAGCCTTGATGAATTGTCACGTCAAATACAAACACCTCACATCACACGCAATGGATCTACTTGGCATTGATCAAATACAGAGATTTACAGATTAGTCTTCAAATATTGAAAAGGAGGACATGTAGGAGAACACTTTTTGAGGGAGGACAGAACTTACAAAAGGACTGTCCTCCCTGAAGGAGTACGATTGGTCACCTTAGTTGTAATGAATGTGCACACATTCTATAAGCAACAGAGCCATTACATTTTCTTGTACAATGTTGCCATCTAGTCAACAAATACAATAATAATTATCAAAAATTTAGCACGTTTTGTCAGATTTAAATCTAAGTGGTTATGATTTAACTACAGTCGACCCCCCTATAACACTGTACTAACTGCATGATCAGTTGAAAACTATGGACACTGTTTATTTTTTCTAAGTACAATACATACATGAACAGAGCCTTTAAAGTACAGCCTGTCCATACTAAATATGGATTTATGGTAATTCTATGTATTTCCAATAATATCAAATAGGATTTCTAAGTATAAAACAAATAACTTTAATTGAAATAATATTTTTTTGTGTATAGTAAATTTATTACATAAAAATATCAATTTTATCGTATTCTATTCCAATACATTGAAAATTTGTACTGTTAATTCTTAAATGATTGAAGAATTACAATAAAATTATAGTACTTATAATTCTATAAGTACTTATTAATCTTCTTAAATTATAAGATTAGTTATAACAAATTTATGCAATGAGATATTGAATCAATTTCTCCTCCTTTTAAATTTTTATTATAGATGAATTTAATTTTTTTTATTTCTTATCAATGAACTTAAGTAAATTATTTAAAAAGAATTAAAACACATTTTCTTTATGGAATAAATTTTGTTATTTTTAAAGCTTACATGAATACTTGTGAGTGTTGACTGTTACTCTCTATATACTTTACATTTGAATGATTTTAGACAGATTAAAGAAAATTAGTATATAAAATATATATATATTAAAAATTTATGAAAATATTGGTTAATATTTTAAAACTCATAATCTTGCTATTTTTCCTATATGAAATAATCCAAAATGTTTTGTAAGTACTTCATCATTTCAACTGAAACTTTCTTTTATGCTATTCAATTTATATTGTATAATAATAACTGTTGTTTTATAACAATAAAACAAAATTATTTACAAATGCATATATAATGTGTAGAAAGCTAAAGTTAAAATAAAAAATTTTATACACCTAATGTTAGATTTATATGGTACTTAAATTTCACAATTTTGGTTTAACAGTCAGAAAAATATAACAAAATTTTATTTTAGATGATAGTTTTAGTTTAATATAATATTTCAAAATATTTTAGCTGTTTTATATTTAGTATTTTATTTAAAAAGTACATACTTTTATTGGTGCAATTAATGTTAAGGCCTATGCCAACAAAAATGATATTGCAACTACTAAATAATTTTATATATAGTATATACTGACTTAGTAATTTATATATATTTGTTTTAATTCATTATATAAGTATTAAAAATAAAAATGTATTAAAATGTCCATATAAGTGAAATTTTAATTTGGGCCTCTTCTTTATGTTTGATCTGGTTATGCAACTGATTGCATTGGTTTATGCAAATACACGAAAACATGAAACTTACAAAAAGTGATCTGAGAAGGTCATTGTCCTAGGGCCAGGGCTGGCCCGTTCATATAGGCAAACTAGGCGATGGCCTAGGGCACTTGAATTCGGTGGGCAGCATGGCAAAAGTACATGCATAAATTACAATAAATAATGAAAAAATAAATGTTTTTTGATCACAATCCTTTCTCACGTGTTGACCTGTGAGTCACCATTTTGAAAGTAGCATCGTAGTCTCACGATCGCAATATTGTGTGCTGCATAATGAATAAAAATTAGATACTCTTGGGGCGACGTCAAAGTCATTTGCCTAGGGTGCTGAGTTTGCTTGGGCCGGCAGTGCCTAGGGCAGTGACCTTCTCAGATTACTTTTTGTAGCTGTCTGCATGGCAGAATATGATTGCAACTCCAACTTACCTGAGACCTGTGTTTACTGCATATACTGTACAGAAAAGGCAGTTTCACAATCAATTTCTACAGTATACAGAAGTCTACGCATGGAAGCCAATCTTGGGATCCAGGAACCTGATGTCCTTTTTTTCAAGCCAATGAAAGAATCATGTATGATAAAAGTAGCTTGCTTGTATAGGGAGACAAGATTAGGTGAATATACTAACCTTTATGTTCTGACATATGGAAACCTGACTACTCATAGAGTAAGTAGAGATATTTTGCTTCCCTTCCTCTGTATACAGCCACATTTGGTGACACATTTGTACTGTAAGCCAATAATGCCTATCCTCATACAGCTGACCTGTGTGTTGGGGTTATCACATGGCTGGCTTGACTGGCAATTTTAAATCAAGGTCAGTGGTTGGCAAAAATATTTAAGTGTTGACAAAACAGTTTAAAATATAAACATTATCTTTTAATTGAAAAAAGTATTATATAAAATTATTTTTAATATTCAATGAGTTTACTTATAATGATAAAGTGAGTTTTGCATTATAATTATGAATTTTTTTTGTTATTATTCATAAATGATTCTGTACCTGTAGTATGTTAAATTTTCAAATTCAATTCATACAATTTTAAGTAAAAATACAGAGTTCATGCTAAGTCAACTGTCATTTTAAGTTTTAAAAATTGATTTTTCAAGAAGAGCTAGTCTAGATATT